TTCACTACTTTCCTATCAGTGCCACCCTGTCAAGAGAAGTGTTCTTAATCTCCCTCTTTCTCCGTGCCCTCACGCATCTGTCATCCTCAGTTCCTTCCAGCAGAAAATTTCCACTCTTTTATAATTCGTACTTCCCGTCTTGGCACCCTTCCCATTTCATAGACTCTGCCCCTCACACGGTTCTAAACGCCCAAAATTTCTCTCCCACCTCCCAAACCCTAACTCATGGAACTCTTCCTATCACTCGTGCCTTCCCTACATTTCCCGGTCTTTCTAATCTCCAACAATTCTGCTCCGTCCTTAGACATCAAGCTTACCTTCCGCCAGACTAACACTCTTCGCCACTAATCTCGTTCATACTCTCCTCCTCTATACAGATGTTTCCTGGTGTCTACTCTACATTTCTTGCTCCTCCTGTCCTCTTCTTCAATACTTTGGAAAACTGGTCGATCTCTTTGCTGACAGACTTAAGGGAGTCAAGCACAAAATATAGTGTTAGCTTGCCGACACTAACAATGCTCTTTTTGCTGTCACGTCAGAGATCATAGCCATCCTATTGACTTGGTCTTCCTGCTAAAACTGTCCCTTCCCTACTTCCAACTCGAACAGTCGCCGTTAGTTGAATCTTCCTCTTATACACAACTTTCCTTGTATGAATCACCTTAGCCCTGCTTTTCGTCTCTGTAGATGCCTTCCTCTCCCCTACAGTTGTAAAATGCCTCCAACTCAGACACCCGTGGACTTACCCTGAATCCTCTTTTCTTCTTCTTCTTCTTTTACTTCTTTCACTCTTCCCCTTTCCTCTCCATCCTTTTCTCCTCTGGGTTGTCTTTCTCTCTCCTGTCTCGTGTTTCTGTTCCCTTCTTTATTTATTTCACCACTTCACCGCTTTCACGCACCTCGTGCGCTGCTCCACCTCTGTGGGTTTCTCGCTCTCTTGCAGTGCTCCCCTTCCTTTGTATTTGACTGGCTTCGTCTTCCTATTTCCCACTTCTACCACTACCACTACTACTATCTCTTCTTCTTCTACTACATCTACTGATGACATTAGACACATGTACTGGCGTCTGGTTGTCTTTGTTGTGGACGTTTCGCCATCCAGTGGCTGGCTGGATGGCGAAACGTCTACGGTGGGGATGCCCGGGTGTTGTGCATGTGTCATTTCATCCTGTCGGTATTATATACAATTCTTGTACTACTACTACTACTACTACTTCCACTACTACTACCTCCACCTCTTCCTGCCTATATATAGCCGTCCTGGCTCCTCCTCTGTTAGTGTGACTTTGTCAATGGTCCAAGTCGGACCGAAACGTCGTCGTAAGCTTCTGTCTTTTATGTGCGGGTTATTTGTGTAACTTCCTGGTATTTTGCAATGTATAACATCCAGTGTACACAATAATATCCAATACCAGACCACTGTAACAATCACAAAGTACAAACAACTTTATACCAAAGCATCTCCTCTTGCCTGGTCTGTACTTGCTTGAAAAGAGAGTCTTCCTTTGGTGACAGAATCAAAGAATCGTCAATTTACCAAGCTTCCTGAAGGGATAAAATGACATATTGAATTTCTTGGCATTTCTCTCCCTTTCATATACACAAACACATTCCTAATCTTATATAACCTGTCTTTCTGTCAGGCCTGGTTTTGTCTGAAGTGAACTACAGTGCATACGCAATAGTAGCACAAAATGATTCACTTCGCCATTATATCCTGAAACCTAGGGTTGCAATCAAGCGGTCTGTTGACCAGTATGTATTACAGAACTGTGCTTATACAACATGTGGCATAAGCATTATTGTGGCAAAGAAAAGATACATCTCAGCCCACATTTGTCTCCTTCACCTGTGTTGTGTGGGGGCCGTGACTTGGAAAAGTATTGTGTTTGCCATGTGTACTCGTAGTACTGTTGCTTTCCCAGACAATTTCCATCAGGGGCTCGTCAAAGAATAACTTGAAACATTCCAGTTCAGTGGCACTGTTCCCTAGTGTACAACATGGCCGTATTCCACTTTGGCTTTCATCAAATTGGTGGGGATTTGGAACAAAATTGACAGCTTCCTGCCAATTCCAGGTGCGATCTGCTGGTGGGTACTGGACAATGACAAGTGGTTGTGGTTGTTTATTCTCTATAAGGATTATAATGCGGAGTTTACAGATTTTGGATATTGTGTGGTTTACATGTTATAAAATGCTAATTACAGAGGGGGCCACTAGGACACCTAGCATGGCTAGGCATTTCAGGCAGACTTAGATTAATTCTTAACTCTAAATTATTACAAATTATGGAGTAAGTTGGTATTAAGGCTAAGTGACTAAATCATAGTTTGTGAGTTTAGCAATGTGAATGCTTTTGTTTTGGCACAATACAGTTTCTACATTGGAATATCACAGGCAAACTTAATGACTCGTTAGAATTCATTATTTTAAGATTAAGATTCGTATTTCTGTGTTTATAGTCAAATGGGTGAGTGAGTGTAGTTGTCGGGGTGTATCAAAGAGATAAGATGTTTTCTAACGGTAGCTTTGAAAGTAAAGAATGTGTCTGCAGTTCTAGAGTTTTCAGGTAGGGTGTTCCAGATTTTAGGGCCTTTGACATACATTGAATTTTTGTAAAGGTTTAATTGGACACAGGGAATGTCATAGAGATGTTTGTGTCTGGTGTTATGCCTGTGGGTCCTGTCACAACTATCAAGAAACCGTTTTAGGTCAAGGTTAATATTGGAATTTAAGGCCCTGCAGATGTAGATTGCACAGTAGTAAGTGTGGATGTTCTGAACAGGGAGTAAGTTTAGATCTATGAAGAGTGGGGGGGGGTATTGCCAGGGATGGGATTTAGTGATTATTCTTACTGTGGCTTTTTGTTGGGTTATTATTGGCTTTAGGTGTGTTGCTGCAGTTGATCCCCAAGCACAAATAGCATAATAAAATATAAAATACCGACAGGTTGTTAGGTAAGACACATATGCAACAGTTCCATAGTATGGAACAATGCTCTTCTCCAGACTGAGGACTGACCACCTCAAAACTTTAAGGGTGATGGACTGATTACATCGTCTTCAAGTATCTTCTGCTTCTATCAACTTTTCTGTACTCGACTGAAGAAGCCTACTGTGTAGGCGAAACGTTTCGAAATAAAGATACCTAACTGTTGCATATGTGTCTTACCTAACAAATAGCATAGGTGAGGTATGGATGAGTGAATGGCATAGTGTGAGAAGGGCATTTTGCGGCATGCAGTATCGTATCTTGGAGAGGATCCCAACCATTTAGGATACTTTTCTTGTTATGTGTTGGATATGGGTGCTGAAATTCAGGTTGTTGTTGAGGTATAGGCCTAGAAATTTGCCCTCATTGTCTGGGAATTAGAGAGTTGTCGATCTTAATGTTAAGTTGCGCAACACCTGCTCTGCTACCAAACATAATATAGTAGGTTTTGTCAGTGTTAAGTGTAAGTTTATTGGCTGTCAGTATTTACATATGCTGCTAGCTATGTATGATAACTTATTTAACTCTATTTATGTTTATGTGAATAAACTAGTGACTCGTTGATTTGACTGACTGGCTGTACTGACTTGACAACCTTGACTGAATTACTGATGACTGACTTAATATACTGACTAGATTGAGTGACTTACTGGCTAGACTAAGGGACTTACTGACTGGACTAAGTGACTTACTGACTGGACTGACTATGCTGACTAACTATAATGACTTACTATACTGAATTGCCTTACTGACTGGAACGACTTACTAACTTGACTAACTGTACCACCTTGACTGACTCACTGAATGACAGACTGACTGATCTGACTTACTGACTTGATTGGACTCACTTAACTGACTTTGGCCTTACTTGAATTGTGTATGAAATTGGCAAAATTACCAATTTCTTATCACTTTATTGGGTAGTTGAAATCAGAAAATGGGCAGTGTCTTGTATTCAGTCGATAGATCAAATGGAGTTCCAGTGAAATAGCTAAGAGTTTGGTCGACTGGAACAATGGAATTGGCCAAAATAGTGCTCAAAGTTGGCAAAATTGGCGATGCATAAATATTGCTGAGACTGCTAACTTCGTGAGAGTGTAATTCTGCAAATTTTCCATCAAATTTCGTACTTTTGGTGTCATTACCATCAGGAAGAGATTCTCTGTTATTTCACAAGACATTTTTTTTTGTTTTCTAAACTTAACACTAAGAGCAAGTTTGTGAGCGGGGTCTCGACAGTGAAGGGGTTAAAGAAAAGAAAGTAGCTGGAGTATTAAAGTTACGGAAAGAAAAAAGTTTTTCTATGAATGGAAATAACTGAATAAATAAGAACAATTTTTCCAACACTTGTATGGGAGTGAGACATGCCCCTTGAATGTTATGGAAAAGTAGAGGCTGGAGGTAGTAGAGATTTTTTGTTGGAGACCAATGTGTGGTTTAAATATTATGCATGAAATAAGCAGTGAAGATATATAAAGAGTATGGTGGCAGTAAACATATTGTATAATTCAAAGAGGGTGAAGGGTTGAGATGGTTAGGACTTTTAAGAAGTATGAGACAGACTGAACAAGGTATATTAATCTGTGGTGGTTGGCAAGTGGTGAAGGGGACATTATGAAAGGCAGTGAAGGAATGGAATGAGAAAGGTTCTTTTTATGTATGGGTTTCATTATACAATAGTGTACATGTATGTGATTGCAGCGAGTGGAGACAAGTAGTTTATGGTATTTGAAATGCTAAGCAGGAAAACTGCTTAGCAGGATTTAAGTTCTGAAAATAAACAGTACCTGCATTCTAAATGACAGAGCAGAGCTTGATTTCTGAAACTAACAATACCTACACTCTAAAGATGTTGTGGTTTGGCGAATCATTCTAATTGTGATATCTGGGTTCTTCTGGAAAGACAACTAGGAAATTACTGATAATAAATGTCTTTTCCTTTATTTATTAAAAAATATACATTGTCCACATAAATAAACAAATGATTATAGAAAAAGTGCATACTTACGGTATACCATTATTAAGCATCCTCTCAAACAGTGACACATCCAAACCATATTTTGTAGCCAACTCATACACTGTTGTGCTAGGACGAAGCTGTTGATGATCACCTGAAAGAAATGTGCAATACAAATTATGTACGAAAATTAATCAGAGAATGGAGAAAAAGGATGTATCCAGATATTTGGGAGTGGACAAGGCAGCAGATGAGTCTATGAAATATGACGAGAACCACAAAGCAGATGTAAGGTAGTATTAATGTTGGTAGAATTACTGACAATACATTAAGTAAAAAGGACACAAGTGCAACTAATGCAGCATTTTATTGGGAATGGGGGTTCCCCATCAGTGCCGTCTTAGCTAACTTGCACATATATGAAAAATCTGGAAGCTGAATACTTCGCCAACTTCATCCCCACCAGCGTCACTTGGTTACATTATGTGGACAACGCCCTCATAATAACTCCCAAACATTTTGATGTGCAGAATCTTCAGGCAAGACTAGGCAGCTGAACTGGCTCTCCAGTTTACACTCAAAGAGGAGGAGTCCAATGACAAGCTACCTTTCCTAGACATCTTCATTCAGAAAGTTGACAACACTAAGGTTTCAAGTTTACCGGAAACCTACAAACAAAAATGATCTCACACACTTGTTCTCCAGTCAAGATATTAAGACCAAAAGAGACATCATCAGATTTTTCCTAAGATCATACAGAATTTGTAGTCCAGAGTATCTTGACAAAGAGTGTACACACACACATACACCAAACTTTCACTGATCTACATTTTCCTTCCTTTTTCATGAAAGACTGAAAAAAAAGAGCCCTTCAGATCATTAATTCTCCAGGCACCAACACCACTCCTAACAGTTATAATCTTTCCCAACAGCCAGGTTGCATTGAACATTTCTAAAGTACTCACTCATGCTAACACTAGAGTTGCCATCACAACCAGCACTTCCATAAAGGATCTAACTAGGGTAAAATTGAAGCACCATGAGCCAGTCAATGCTGGGGTTTACACTATACCCTATTGAGGCTGCAACAGAATATACAGAGGACCCTCTGTTTTCATGATTTTCAGTTACCGCCAGCGTTTCTCAAAAATATAGGCTCTGTTTTCGTTACTTTCCTCTGTTTTCATCAGTCGTACGGAACACGCCCGAGTGGCCGCATGCACACAAACCCTCCCACACATAGACAAGGTGGACAGAGACAGGATGTTCCAGAGAGTGGACACAGAAACGAGGGGTCACAATTGGAAGCTGAAGACCCAGATGAGTCAAAGGGATGTTAGGAAGTACTTCTTCAGTCATAGTCAGGAAGTGGAAGAGCCTAGCAAGTGAGGTAGTGGAGGCAGGAACCATACACAGCTTTAAGATGAGGTATGATAAAACTCATGGAGCAGGGATAGAGAGGACCTAGTAGCACTCAGTGAAGAGGCAGGGCCAGGAGCTGCAACCACAATTAGGCGAGTACATGCACATGGACTTGCTTTTCATAGGTTGACTCGCGAATAGTAGTTTGTCCGGGACGCGTATGCACGGTGTGAGATGGGGAGGCCTCCCTACCCAGCCAGTCTGGCATTGTTTACCAGTGAGTGAAGGTCCCCTCAAGTGCTCCTACGAAATATTTCATAATATTCCACTCATTTTAGTGCTTGCAAGTACTAAATAAGCTACCATGGCTCCAAAGAAAGCTCCTAGTGCCAAGCCTGTGGTAAAGAAGGTGAGAAATATGTACAGTGACAAAGTCTTGGGCCATTTTAGGGAAGTGTTCAAGAGACGCCAGAAACAGAGCTCTCTCCACAGTTACTTTGCAAGACAGGACTAGAGTGACTCTCAAGGTGGTCCTAGTGGCATTAAGAAACAGATAAGAGAAGCAACCCCAGAGAAGCAATTGGTACCTGAGGTGTTGCTGGAAGGGGATTTCCCTTCCAAACTATAAACAATCCAATCTCTCTCCTCCTCCAGTCTCCCATACATTAAGAAGAATCTCCAATAAAGGTAAGTGTTATGCTGTTAATGTTTCATTCATCATTTCCCATTGTATTGTTTATGTACTACATGTATATTTCATGTAAAAAATTTTTTTGTTTTAATACTTCTGGGTGTCAGGAACGGATTAATTGTATTTACATTATTTCTTATGGGGAAAATTGATTCGCAAATCGTAAATTTCGTTTGTAGTAGCTCCTCCAGGAACGGATTAATTACGAAAAACGAGGGACCATTGTACCTGGGTGTTAGTCAACTGGTGTGGGTCGCATCCTAGGGGACAAGATTGAGGACCCCAATGGAAATAAGTTAGACAGTCCTCGATGATGAACTGACTTTGAGTTATCCTGGGTGGCTATTCCTCCGGGGTTAAAAATCCGAAAAAATCTCATCTTATCTCTTAACATAACCTTGCGAGGTCATATAAAACATTTCATAATAATCCATTGTTTTTTGTGCTAAATAAGCCACCATGGGCCCAAAAAAAGTTCCTAGTGCCAGCCCTATGGTAAAGGTGAGAAACATGTTAGAATTCAAGAAAGAGCTCATAGCACAGTACCAAAGTGGAGGAGGAAGAGAGAGGAGAATGTGCCTTCTTCAGTGATTCTCCGATTTGTACAAACTAAAGCAGCAGGTGTCGATAAAGACTATAGTGCCAGCCAGTGATAAAGTGTAGCATTAACATTGTAGCAAGCAAGTTATGAGATTAAGTAATAGAAAAAGGACACGAAACTAACTCCTCCATTGTTGTTGGAGGTATGTAGGGTCACTTGACAACATGTGCCACCTGCATATCTTCTACCATCCTAAACTTCTGCCAGCATCTCCACCAAGGTAAGTGTAAATATTTATTATTTATAAAGTGTAAATATTTCTTATTCATAAATTACATACATTGTTTCAGTGTAAATAGTGGTGGTGGCCTCTGCTGCCTCCACCACCACCACTACAGGTCTCCCTCCACATTCACAAGTTCCACTCTAGCGGGCTTTGAACATTCGCAAATGCCCATCCGCCCAATTATATTTAAAATATGTCATTACATATGTTAGGAATTGTGGTGGTGGCAGAGTTTGGAGATAAGACAAGATAGCCTTTCAATATGACACTAATATCAACTCTACGGCTTATTTATCTATCACAGTTCATCTAATATGACATAATAAACAATATTAATAACATAGAAACATGACATTTTATTCATTCTAGAGTATATATGTCATTAAGTATGTCACGAGAATTGTGTGTGGTTGTTGTTCAGTGAATAAGGGCCACCGAGAGCATAAGCCATACATAGTGGTGGTGGGGGTGGCAGCAGAGGTGGTGGTGTTGTCAGTCGCCCTGTATAATTCCAACAACACAGGAGGAGTTAGGTTCATGCTGTCCTTTTTCTATCATATAATCACTTAACTTACTTGCTACACTTTATCGCTGGCTGGTGCTATAGCCTTTATCGACTCATTCTGCTTTACTATTGTACATATCGCAGAATCACTGAAGAAGGCACATTCTCCCTTCTCTCTTCCTCCTCCACTTTGGTACTCTGCCAAGAGTATTTTACAACATTTTCATTATATTTTATGATGTTTTCATGTGTTTTATGATTGTTCATGGTTCAATAGGTTAAGGAAGCAGTATTGTTAAGCTAAGTAAATGCTATTATTATATTTCCCTACAATATACTTGTGCACCAAACATTTGCGATTTTTCTACATTCGCGAGGTTCTTGATCCCCTAACCCTTGCGAATGGGGAGATAGACCTGTATATGTATGGCTTATGCTGTCAGTGGCCCTTATAAACCCAACAAATCCACCAACACTCTCACATACAGGGCAGGGGTCAGCCTAGGAAAGGTTGGAGGGAGGGGGTAAAGGTGGTTTTGTGTGCGAGGGGCTTGGACTTCCAGCAGGCATGCGTGAGCATGTTTGATAAGAGTGAATGGAGACAAATGGTTTTTAATACTTGACGTGCTGTTGGAGTGTGAGCAAAGTAACATTTATGAAGGGGTTCAGGGAAACCGGCAGGCTGGACTTGAGTCCTGGAGATGGGAAGTACAGTGCCTGCACTCTGAAGGAGGGGTGTTAATGTTGCAGTTTAAAAACTGTAGTGTAAAGCACCCCTCTGGCAAGACAGTGATGGAGTGAATGATGGTGAAAGCTTTTCTTTTTCGGGCCACCCTGCCTTGGTGGGAATCGGCCGGTGTGATAATAAAAAAAAAATATTTTTTATTATGTCATATTAGATGAATTGTAAGATAAATAAGCCATAAAGTTGATACAGGTACCATCCGACTTATGACAAAGTTTGGTTTTGACATACTGGTCCTAAGTCAAAATGGACACAAGTCAAACCTTACTACTGAATATCAACATCACATTTTTCTAATGATTTTATTTTATTGTTTTATTTTGGTATTTCATTTTTTACTTTACTTTTTATGCTGTTAGTACTGTATTTTATACTGTAAGGTTTAGGATAAACACTGTACAACACAGTTATTTCCCAGAAATTTGGCATACAAAACATGGTCGTAAGTCGAGTGGTCATATGTCGAGTAGGCCGCAAGTAAGATGGTAGGTGTATTAGCATCATATTTAAGCATTTTGTCCTGTCTCCAAACAATAAACTCTCCTCCCTCCATACACCAATAAGACTCTTCAATGAAGGTAAAAGTGATTTAATGTTCATTTATCAACTTCATTAGTGCTTTATATCTATTTCTCATTGTTTTCTGTATGTAAAACTATAGTTTTCTCTATAAAATTTATTTTTTGTTAATATTTTTGAGTGTCTGGAACAGATTAATTGGATTTACATTACAGTGGACCCTCAACTAACGATATTAATCCGTTCCTGAAAGCTTGACGTTAGCTGAAATTATCATCAGCTGAATTAATTTTTCCCATAAGAAATAATGGAAATCAAATTAATCCATGCAAGACACCACAAAGTATGAAAAAAAAAAATTTACTACATGAAATATTAATTTTAATACACACAAACTGACACTTACCTTTATCGAAGATCTGGTGACGACTGATGGGATGGGAGGAAGGGAGCCTGTGGAAGTTGTTAATGTTTAGAAGGGGAATCCCCTTCCATTAAGACTTGA